ACAATCAATTTACATGCATTTTATGTCTTAGCTTACAAGGGTCTCGTTGTCGATGTGTAGGTTTCGCCCAATTCACTACGACACAGGCCACCCACTTCTCCCAGGCTACAGGGTCAGCGTCTCAGGCAGTTGCATCGACCTCGCACTCTGCACAGTTCTGGCAGTACACCGGGACTTCGTCACAGGCAGCCGACACGTCGAGTCGGGGTCCACCACTGGACCATGCCGGGACCTCGTCGAAGTACAGGGTGGCTTCCGCCTTGCTCTTCGACATGTGCGACTTCGACTTCCAGGTCACGACAGAGGACGTCATCGGCCCCTCACAGCTGGGAGGCGCACCGCCGGTGCAGACGCAGGACTAGTCGCCCTCCACTCCGCGGCTAGACACTCGTGCTACCCGTGTTGTGCCACTGGATCGTTTCACGTACTCCCAGGACCACGTGCGAGAACAGGCCCGGAGGACCAAGCTTGGTTGCGGCGCGGGGCAGAGCCAGTAGAGTAGACTTCTCTTTGTTTATTTACTTTACATGCTAGTACTGTATGCTTGTATAATGAATACGTTGTTGTTATTCGGGTTTCGCATCACTAAACTTCGCTGTTACTTTTTACGAAAGCATGATACCTTTCGGCACATGCACGACTACTTTCTGTCGCACCGATGCAACCTCCTTTATTCGCGTGCGATACGACTGCGGAATGGCTGACCCACCATGGCCCGCATACGTCCAATCTTACTTTCGGCGCCAATCAGGTGTACCTACCATGGTCCGCAACGTTGACATGTCAAGGATATCACTGCGATTTTTGGTGCCTATATAAGTCGCCATAACGAGCGATGCCTCACAATCTTTCATAACTCAGTCACATTCAGTACTCTCTTCCTCATTAGCTTCATTATAAATCCCACTAGCTTTCGTCAATGGCTAGACGCCTGGGCGTTAAGGATCCGAACTGGCGTAGCGATCCTTGTGTATACCTACTACCACCTTAGTGCTAGCGGCCTCTCTGCCTATGCGGTGACCGATGCCAACTAATGGCTTCGAGGAATCCTGATATTCGAGGAAGGCGCTTTTTTAGGTGCCCTAACTATGACCGTGAGGTATTTTATTATCTGTATATGCTTATTCATTCTGTATGGGCAAATGTTTTATTCTTCATAATACTACTCTATTCGTCAGACCCGCACTACGGCTTGCGGATACATCGAGTGGGTCGATACAGAAAATCCAGTTCTCGACCTAACCACTTGTTTACAAGAAGGACGCTGGTATTTCGCATCCAAAAGTACTAAGCAATACTTGCAGAGAAAAGCAGCTTACGAACGACAATGTCGTGAACAACAGTGCGACTGGCGGGTGCTAACTACGGCACTCCCTCCATGGAAAGCCCGTCCAAGATACAGATGCGGTGATCGTTATCAGGTTCTTCGTTCCATAAAGCCTACGACTTTGGGTCGAAGGTTCTTTGTTTATCCAAATATTCTTGACGACGATTTCATGGTAAGAATATTTTGATTATAATGAATGCTTATTTTCTCACAACATTTACTAACTTTGTTCGCTTCACATCTATTCGTTTCTCACAAGAACCACCAAGGAGATGTCAATACAGAGAATGGATAGACAGTTCTAACTCCACCTAGCCGTGCGGTGTAGCTTGAACTACCAGAGGAATATAGGATTACTAAAGCGCGGTTTGAGAGAGGAGAGAGATTCTCACATAGGGGTTAGCTATTATCGGACAACTTGCCATATTGAAATTTGTAATGTCATGCTTCCTTGTCCCATTACTATATCGTCGTTGTGTTCAACTCTTGCACTACCTCCCTCCTAGTTCGAATCTAATATTATCTATGTAACCGCAATGGAACCAGATGTATCATGTTCAAATTCTACTACTATATCTTCATGTTACATAATTCTCCTTGTTTAAGTGTATATAATGTTTCTATGACCGAGACTGCGATAGGCCTATATCAATTTCGTACACTAATACGTCGAATAAGTTACAGATTAATATCTTACTTAACAGATGAAATTGCGAAACAACAAACTTCAATATATTTTTAAAACATTATTAACAAGTTTTACCAATAAATAATTATTTAATTATTATGAACATAGCAGAGAAAAAGCATTTGGCTGATAGATTTTGCATCTAGGCCCCTTGCCGCCCTTTTAAGTTGCATCAATCAAGACACCATGCCCAAATTAAAACACCATACCAATTATACCCTTAGCATGCACACATTCTCCCTTGCTACATTAAATATATTCCAATGAAATTCGTGTCCATGCAGTTATATGATGATTAATTTGAGAAAATTTAGATTTATTTATATGATGATCAATTTGAGAAATTTTGGATTTAATTATATGATGATCAATTTGAGAACAAGGGAGTACTAGGTTTAAAGTGGAGTTGTGGAGCTGTGGAGCTGCCCAATTTGGTAGGGCTTCAACTCCTAAATTTAACTCCAAAAGTTTGGTATCCTAAATTTAACTCCAGAAGTTTGGTACTCTGGTTAGCTCCACCTCTCTACTTCATTTTAACATAGCACTCTAGCCAGCTCCACTCCGTTTTTTGTTGGAGTTGAAACCGTTTAGTTGGACTACAGCTCTAGGAGAGATGGAGATGGAGCTAGAGTTGTGTCAAATGGTGGATCGATCGGGTTTTTTTTTCACCACTTTCTTTTTTTTTTTTTGGCACCATATAGTTTTTTTTGGGTAAGTTTATGTACCTAAAGTTTATAAATTCAAAGTTTACATACCTAAAATTTATAAGTTAAAAGTTTATATACCCGATTCAAATTCAAAATCAGATTTAAATTTTTTTATATAGAATATTTCTATACATAAAGTTTGTAAGTACGAAGTTTACGGTATATATTTATAAGTATAAAGTCTATGCACATAGATATACTTTTATGGGTATTCGAGATTTTTTTTCTATTTTTTTTATTTTCTTCCTAACTTGTTTTTCTTTTTTGAAATTTATGATGCAGTTGGAAGGGAAGAAGGGGGACTAGCGTGTGTTAGGGGTAGGGACATGGGGCGATTGCTGTGGGCGATCACCAGCTCATTAGCCCTTATCTCTTTAATTTATTTTGTGAGTACATTTTAGCCAGCTCCATATTTTTTATGTGAAATTGAAGCTGGAGCTATGCTGAATGGGTTCTTCATGGAATTTGGACGGCTAGTTGGTTATTTGGTTTGGGTTAATGTGGCTTGCCATTTCGCAGTCAAGTTGCGATCGATGCGCATGCATTAGGCAGGTGAGGGTGCTGACGCCGGCGAGCACTCCGTGCCGGTGCCGTCGCGGATTATCCTAAAGCTCAGGTGTAGACCTGCACGACACATATTGCTCGGATCCATTTGCGCCTTTTGCTGGGCGAAAGCAACATGGAGGATGCATGGAGCTGTATTCTTTTTTGTTATTTGGACAGGTTGTGCCAACCAAGTAAGATGTCATCATCAGACCATTATAATAAGTGTGGTTAATTAGTAGCGAGGGCACTGGCATTTCGTTGTAGATCAGATCAGGCGTCCGACGCGCACTGATGAAGGTCACGGCGACGGACCGACGGTGTTCGGGATTTTAGTCCCAATCTTTCACGGTACAACACAGCAGCCCGACTGTATATGTGGTTATATATCTCCGTAAATAAATTAAGCAAATGGTTGAGCTGAAAGAACAGGAAGACGTGTTAAGGTATGAAAAATGTTATGATGTTAATACCTTAAAAGAGATACCAGGCCACGTATATTTTTTTATGATATGAAGAAAAGAGAAATAGACGAGGGAAGATTGTCGATTGTTGGTTAACAGGCGATCAATTTCCAATTATGAATTGTTCAAATAGTTAATTGAAAGGCCATATTTAATTGCCAAAATTTTATTTTAGATCACCCGTAAACCAACACTTTGGACCTGTTGATTCTGCCATTGTTGCATTTTAGACCATCCCAAACAACTTATTAAGCACATGTCGACGGCTTTAAATAAATAGGCGAACTTTCCCATCTATGTGCATGCCATATTTTTCCTAGATCAGAGATTTGACATGGATGAATAGAGAGTTGGATCATCCAAAGTCCAAAATGGTAAAATGGCAAATTATTTGTCGAAGATGAAAAGATTGATTCAAGAATAGTCCAAACTAAAATATTGGCAATAATAGATGGTCTAAATTGTAGTTCACTCTTATTCAAATTTATTTGAGATAGACAAATAAAGAAATTGTCAATGAGTTGTCTAGACGTCGCCAAGGTATAACATAGAAATATTATAAATAGCTATCGTGTACTACCTCCGTCCCAAAAAACTCAATTCTAGATTTGAACCTGAAGATTCATGTGTCCAGGTTCAAATTCAGAATTGTTTTTTTTTTTCGGAGGGAGTAAGTTACTCATGCCTATATTGTCATTCTTGCTTTATGGTGATTTTTTTCCCTTTCTTTCAACTTACCAGTTTTGTGTGTGATCAAATTACACTAAATTGGTCGCGTGCATCACACCTGTCCTATATGCTTCGAGCATATACATTAGGGGTGTGTTTGGATAATGGTAAATAAGGGATGGGATTGAGATTGAGAAATGAACGAAGGGTTAGGATTAAATGAAAGAGGGAGAATGAACGGTTAGGATTCAAAGATGGGTAGGAAATCATTTCCCTTTCCCATTTGCCATACACTGTCTAGGTCTTATTTAAAACCCATTTACAATGTAAAAAATATATGAAATTTCTATGACCCTACATGAAATTCTTACGCTTCAAATCCAAGTCCTAATCCACCCGATTTTTCAACAAAAATCAACTGCTTTGGGAAGTTGGGATACCCGACTCGAGTCGAGTCGATCGCATCTGTAGTTCCGTTGCATCTGGATTCTCTGGAAACAGAAGCATATGGAACGGAACGGAACGAAACGAAAGACGCTGACGTGGCGCCCGCTGACGTGCGTCTATATAACGGCGAGGAGCTTCCTCTTCCTCCTCTCTTTTCTCCTCCAAGGTGACCACCTCCTCCCCACCGCCCCCCACATCCGGTTCCCCGAGGTTGCAGCCTCTGCAGCCTTGCGAGGATCAGATGAACCCATCGTCACCAGACGAATTCTCCAGTACGAACGATCGGACACTGAATCTTTGCTCAATTCCGTGCTGTTTTGATTCCTTTACTGGCAGCTGAGCCGGCCCTCAATCTGGATTTTCCCGGAGGATTTTTGGGGGATTTTTTTTTCTTTTTTGTGGGGATAAGGAGTTCAGGGGTGAGGGGGAATCTGGTGGAATTGGATCGGTTTTTCTGATCTTGTTGAGCCGATCTGTGTGGGATAGGAAAGGTTGCTTTTTGTTGTTGTTCTTGGGTTCTTGGTTTGATAGGAGTTGGGGGGATTCGGATGCTGTAATGGGGGAATTTGAGGCGGCGGATTTGGGAGATTTTGTGATGCGCGCGGGGATCGGGGATGGTGGAACTGTAGACTGTGTGGCCACGATCATCGGATCATGGATCGATCCTCTTGTTTCCGCTTCGCTCTTCTTCTCATCTGTTGATCGTGTCGGAGATGAGCGGAGAGAAAGATCATTGTGGTGGAGACTGATCTGTGCGTTGATCTTGCTTTGGTGGCATGATCCGGGGTCAATCCATGGATTTGTCTTGTGCGTGCTAGTCTCATCTGCAGTTCATTCTGATGGCATTCTTTTTGTGGGGGCAAAGGCTTTGCTAATTTACTACTGAATGAAAATTTTTATTTTTTATGTGTTGTTTGTGTTGTTTCTGCTATTAACTGTTTTTAGTAGTATTGAGTTCCACTGTAAGATGGTTCCTGATCTAACAAGGGTTCATGTGTGTTGTTGTTTTTGGATTGAGGTTCAGGCTTTCTCCTGTCCATGCGCTATCTGACGAATATGTCACTCTGTCTACTGCAGAACACAGCTTAGAAATACTGAACTGCCAACATGATCGAATAATTCAATGCTTCCTTTAATTTAACCTCCATTGCAAATGATTTGCTTATTAGTGATGCCGGGGTTTGCACTATAATGTGAAGTAGTAGTAATTTGCCTCTCTTCTTTTATTCTTGTCAGACTGAGTACTCTGCTCCCATAATCCTATTTATCCACACAGCGAGGGGCACTGCAAGAAGCATGCAGTGCCCAATGGACGCAGCTGCAAGTGGAACTTCGCCTGTGATGCAGTTCCATGGCATTGTTGATGAGCCACCCTCCCATTCATCTCCGCTGCACACGGCGCTGGAACGTTCGCAGCGCCATTGCTATGGTCATGAAACCCCAGGAGAATTCCCCCTTGCTGTGAGCCCCTCCATTGTGCTACATGTGCTCTCCACCTGCGAGCTAGATCCTAAAGATCTCGCTGCACTGGAGGCAAGTTCTACAGCTATGCTCTCTCTGTCTCAATGCTTTAGCAGGAGCTGCTGCTACTGATGAGCTTCTCATATGTCTGTCGTTTCAGGCTACATGTACATTCTTCAGTAAACCTGCAAATTTCGAGCCAAACTTTGCTCTATCGCTTCCAGAGGTTGCGGCATTTGATATGTGCCATAAAAGACCCATGGTTAAGCTAATGGCACAGCAGGAACGGGAGCAACTGAAGCAGAGGTGTGGTGGATCTTGGAAGCTTGTTTTCAAGTATATTGTGGCTAGAGAAAGGAATTACTCTCGGATTGTCGCCGGGCCGGGCCATAGTATTGTTGTCACCACAAAGGGAGATGCATACTCATTTGGGGCTAATTGCTGGGGCCAGCTTGGCCTTGGGGATACTGAAGATCGGTTCAAGCCATGCCTTATTAGGTAATGTGTTGATATTGATAAAATATATGATTGTTTACCAATGTAGTAAAACGTTCACCTTCTTGTTAGGTCTTTGCAAAGCATCAAAATCACACAGGCTGCAGTTGGATCAAGGCAGACAATGCTTGTGAGTGACACAGGAAGTGTCTATGCATTTGGGAAGGGTAGCTTTGTGTGGGAAGAGCTTTCTGATGCAGCTGATCACATTACCACTCCTAAGATAGTGGAGTCGCTAAAGGGTGTGTTTGTAGTTCAAGCAGCCATTGGTGGTTACTTCTCTGCGTTTCTATCTAGAGAGGGTCAGGTTTACACGATCTCGTGGGGGCGAACCGAGAGGCTTGGCCATAGTTCGGATCCTTCAGATGTTGAGCCTCGTCTTCTCTCTGGACCACTTGAGGGTGTTCTTGTTGCACAGATTTCTGCTGGGAATTGCTATCTCCTTATGTTGGCCTACCAGCCAACTGGAATGTAAGTTTTTGCTCTTGCGCCAACTTTTCATTTATTCTTGAATGATAATCTTTGAAACAAATTTGAGTGCTTGGTATTTGGAGCTTCTCTTGAGACGATTAACAGTGCTAACTACTTTGCAGGTCAGTGTATTCTGTAGGCTGTGGTTTAGGAGGCAAGCTTGGTCACGGATGCAAAAACAATAAGGGCACCCCCAAGTTGATTGAACATTTCCTGACATTGAGCTTTAATCCGGTTTCAGTTGCGGCTGGCACTTGGCATGCTGCAGCTCTAGGTGACGATGGGCGTGTCTGCACCTGGGGTTGGGGCCATACTGGTTGTTTGGGACATGGCGATGAGGAGTACAGGGTTCTCCCCACTGTGGTTCAAGGATTGAGCAATGTGAAGGCTGTGCATGTCTCCACCGGTGAATACACCACCTTTGTTGTCTCCGATAACGGCGATACATACTCCTTTGGATCCGCTGAATCCCTGAATATAGGTTTCCAGGTTAGATCATTATTCTATCACATTCATTCTTGCAAAATATCTACCATGATATGAAAAATAAAGAATTTCTACCTGATATGCTTCTTGTCAGGAGGATGAGGAAGCAGCAGATGATGCAGATTTTTCTACCCCAAGCTTGGTAGAATCACTGAAGGTGTTGAATGATAAGGCTGTACAGATTAGCACAACAAATTCTTCATATTGGCTCAACTCAGAAATGGGATACCCGCATACGTTCGCGCTCATGGAATCCGGTAAACTGTATGCCTTTGGGGGAGGGATCAAAGGCCAGCTTGGTGTCAAGCTCTCTGAGGGTCAAGAAAGAGCTCAGAACCCAGAGCGAGTCCCGATCGATCTCTGCTAATTTCAACCAGCATTCTGGTGACCATTTGCAATGACATATTCTGTGATCTGTGGTTAGCATGCCCTCCTGAATTTCATAGGAGGAACTCAAATGTTAGCATCGATGTAAATACTAGGGGCACTTACCTTTGGTTCTTCTCTGAAGTAACAGTGTGGTTGTTGGTAGTTCTTGCATTTTGAATTGTTGGTGCAGCCAAGTCCTGACCGAGTCTTCTGAATTGTTCGTGTGTGGCTTTAGCCTCTTGATTTCTAGCCTCATTCTGCATATTGCACGGTTAGCAGTGAGATCATTGCATGGTTGAATTCTTTTCAAACTCATCACGTAGGCAGTCTTATCAAAATTAGCTATAGTTGGAACAAAATCAAGCCTTGAAATCTTTGCTATACCTGCAATTTCAGACTTGCAGTACATAAGTAAGAGTCAGAAATTATGAAATCCCGGAGCAACCGTGGGCAGGAACAACTGTGGGTGGTGGCCTTGGCCGAATCGCTGAAGGGATAATGTTGTTGACCGACGACGATCCTTCTTGTGCGGATTGGTGGTGTGGGTTTGGACAGGGAATCGCGGGCGAAAGCCTTGCCGAGCCATTTGGCTGGCTGACAACGGCGACGCCGTTTGGCGTCGTTCCCCTCCTTGGAGGCGTTGTTTTAGCATACCCCTTTCCTTTCCCTACCATATTCTCCGGGTGAAAACCTTGCTTCGGTTCTAAACAAGCGGTGGCGGCGATCCACGTCGCATCCTCCTTGGGGGCATCGCTTTGGAGAAACCTCTTCGTGCAAGGATATTGTCATTGGTCTATGCATTGGCTTCAAACTTCAGTCCTAGGCCTTGACAAGGCCTTCTAGCTCCACATTTTGTTTTGCTTTTCTCAGTTTGGGTCCTCTCTTCTCTTATTTGGTGTGTTCAACTTGTATTGAACTAACACTCTCTTCTGGAGTGGATCTTTGTAATAATTGGTTGTAGTTCTTTTTAAGCAAAGGCCGGGATATTATATTCCATTATCTAAAAAATGAAATCCCGGAGCAATTCAGAGGAAAGAGATTATTACTAGTTAACCTTCATCCTAAAATATAAGGAATTTTAGAATTTTGGCTATGCATTTATATGTATCGTCAAAATTAGGAAATCCCAAAGTGATCATGACCAGTTGACTACTACCTTCATCCCAAAATATAAATAATTTTGGCTTCATCCCAAAATATAAGAAATTTTGGCTATGCATTTATTTGTATCGTCAAAATCCCTTATATTTCATATTTCGGAATGGAGTTAATACTACGTAATAAGCATGAGACATACAAAGATCAAAACCAAATCACCAACAAAAAAAACAATGTCGTAATGCTACACCGTCACCAACAAAGATTATACAGCAGCATGAAACATATATTTTGCCCATGCCGTTCGGTCATATTGTTTTTGCTGCTAGGCTAGCAAAAACTGATGAACATGTGGAATGTATTACCGAAAGAGTGGATCTATCTATGCGCCTGCTAGATTTGTACAACTCATAACAGCGAGGCTACTGCAGGATCCCCCTCGGTCCCCAACGTCAGTTGTACCATGCTGGGCAGTGCAGCTGGATCGCGTTGGGGGTGCCACTGGTGATGTCTACAGAAGCTTTGCGCCGTGGTTTAGTACATCCCTTTGAAAACAGGATTCGTCCGGCAGATGCTTGCGCCATACTCTTCATACTCTGCTTTTGTGTGGCAAGCCTGGTTGGGAAAACTACCAGAATTAGCTTTAATTTCTAAAATGGAAAAAGGAAAAAGAAACCCCGAATATGGGGATATATTCCAACAAAAAAATTTAAGCTTTGGAAACAACTTGCAAAAGTAAACGCTATGCACTAGTTTCAAGTGATATGAGTGTTCATTACTACTGTACATAGAAATAGAAGTTTGAATACCTCGTAGAATTCAGCGGTAGAGGCAAGCACAGAACCACCAAACCAGACAGCATATCTTTGAATAGGATGGCTAACTACATTTACTTCTATAGGTTGGGCCTGAAATAAACAGAATGTAGCTGTAGCTTCCAAGTTCCAATATCACAATAAAGTTTCTGGTTTGGCCAGTGTTCTTCTGCAATCAGGAGAGAGCCAGAGCAAACATGAAAAGTTTGTACCTTTGCATCTCCACCAAGTCGAGCATTAGATGCAAGGACTCGTGCATCCACTATCTTTTTTAGGTCCCGCTGCAGCCTCCTGTGGAAATCCTTAAACATAGTTGATCCCCCGGACAAGACAATATTCTGTCCAATAAAATGAAACTCAGAACCACTGTGATATTTTGAATCATAAGACGGCATTTTGATAACACAAACCTTATAAAGAGCCCTTCTTGTGTCAATTGGGGATGATTGGATGCACTTGTCAATAACTACATGCAAAGGAGTGGTGAAGTCATTGTTGTAAATCTCAGGGTGGAAGAAAATCTGCATGGTTCACAGCAACGTGGGGAAATTAGATTAAAATGATAGTGCAATCAAAATGTTTAGTTAGAAAATGCATCAGAACTACTAGAGATATCATGTACAAAGCAGTTATATTTATGAACATAAAGCCTGAACTCAAACTGGTTTATCCATGAATTGGAGTTAAATTATGATCGCAGTTAAGTTTTGAACCTAAATCAAATGTTACATTGTAGAAGCCACAGTTAATGGTGAACACATTAATGCAAAATCAATTACCTCAGGCCCTAGGAAGCGTTCATATCCAATGTCGCAGGTGTATTTGGCACCAGTTTTTGGTTTGATGCCACTCCAGTGCTTTATGTACTTATTGGGCTCTCTGTCATGCTTATTAAATTCCTAAAAAGGCAACAATAAAGTTATATTATTATTTTTCTTTTCATCTCTTAGGGACTCTATTTTTTGTCGTACAAATAACAAAGTCAATGGTTCAAAGCTGGGAAGAACCGAGACAACATATTCGATACTGAAAACAATCACCAGTTGCAGGAAAAAGTGAATCAGAGGAAAGCAGATGCATTGTTTGACATCAAGCATGCTGGAACAGTGCTTTACAAAATTAGATTCCAGGCAGGGTAAGCCTTAAATGCCAATGCCTAGGCTGCTATAACTGTGACAGTCAGTCAACTGCAATGCTATTATGAGGTAAAAGCAATCCTTCCTTTTGAAGTAACACTCATCCTAGAATAAACGAGAACATATACTATCCATGTTTCAATAATTGACAGTTCATGTATTTATTGTAGTAGTTAATACCTTCACAATATCTGAACATGTATAGCAGTACATTTCTTTCACTCTCCTTGCCACATCAAAAGATTCTTCTGGTGGAATGTGCTCACCTCTTTCCTGCAAGAACTAATTGGCTCAGTGACTTATAAGTGCACTGCCATTATGCAGATTCGCTATATAAAATATGAAAATCTCAAGAAAATTATGAGGTAAACTTGTTATATATTTATATATCCTTTCTTGATATATCACACTCCCAAGTCCCAAGTCAATTTCACATGCAGGTTAAATGGCACAAGAAGAGAAGTTGTCTCTCTCATCACATACAGGTAACGATAATTTCAGCTTGTCCTCTAGTCTTAACCATGTGTATTCATTTGTTCAGAATGATATACTTGATATGCTTATTTGACAACCACGGTGAGGTGACTCAAATAATCTCAGGTGTGTTTACAAAATTTGCCATGGCGCATGATTGCAGCTGCAGGCTGGAGTTGCTTGTAAAACTTTGAGTGGAATTTATTGTGCATCATTAGATAAAAATTGACAGTTACTTTCCACCAATTCTACCTCTATTTCATGCATTTTATCCCTTTCATTATTTGTGGCTGTTATTTTCATGAATCTTTGATTTCCTTGTGCAGTTATGATGGACATTTGGACTCTCAAAGGCATAGATCCACAGTAATGTAAGATCAGTGACATCTGTTGACAAATAGAAGGTTAAGTACTATCTTGTGACGGCCCACAAGAAAGCAATGGTAACTACCTTTAAGAGTTGCTGAATAAACTGGGTAACATCCTTGCCTGTAATTGGAATTGATCTGATGCTGCTTCCTATAACATAACCATCAGCAACAGGAACAATGTGGGTAGCCCCATCACCCACATCGACTACAACACCTGTCATTTCACACTGAAAACAAAGCATGAAATTCCTCATAAATATATCTCTCAACATAGACGAAAGGAAAAAGAGGGGCAAATAATGTAGTACTTCCTCCGTCCCAAAATAGTTGTCTCTTTAGGGTTTAAAATTTATCCCACAATACTTGTCACTTAAGAGTACTATATGTCCAATCAATCACCTCCTATTCAAATTTCTACACATTCTATCCTCAACAACCTCACAATTCCATTCAAATGAGAGGCACTTTAGTCTTTGATTGCTAAACCTTAATTTGTGCTAAACAAACCAGAAAGACAGTATTGTGGGATGGAAGGAGTATTGTAGAGCAAACTAAGCACAACTACGAAGCTCAAGAGTCCATGCATGGCTAGAAATAAGATGCCAACACAATGAGCTTTCAAATGAAACAGAAAAACCACTATAGAATTAAAATTTATTGGAAACGTAAATATTTCAATAATGTAGTCTCTTTCACCTATCAAATTAAGGTTAAGCAGAAATATTGCATATTGAAAGCGTGTAATAAAACAGTTCAACTACAACATAAACATGGCCTTGAGAACGAAATTCATGTTCTCATCTCAAGGAATTCTTGCTCTACTAACCTTTGTGGTGGTGTATCCTGCTGCGAGGGCAAGAACCGGCTGGCACGCTATGTACAGACCAGGCACATTGAAAGTCTCAAACATGATCTCCCCGGTGTACTCGCGGGTCTCGGGAGGAGTCAGGGGGCTCTCGGTGAGCAGAAAATAGTGATCCTCCGGATCACACCGCAGGTAATTGAAAATGCACTGCTGCCAGAACCTCTCCATGGTGTCCCAATTCTCAACCTGAATATCTAGCCCATATCAGCTTGAGTAAATGAAGCTCCGCAAACTAAGATAGCAACGCAGAGTGTCAGAAGAGGAAATTAACGCTCGCTCGCGCGCGCGCGCACAAACCTGGCCATTGTGAATTGGATAGCTGAGGTTGTAGGTGTTGCTGGAGCGGGAGCGGGCCAGGGCGTCCTCCCCGATGAAGAAGTCGAGATCGGCCATGACGCCGGCGCTGTGCTGCGCCATCCAGTTCCCCTTGGTGGTGTTGGCCCTGGTCTGGCCGGCGAAGGTGTCGTTGACGGCGACGACGGTGGGGGTGATGAAGCAGGGCTCCACGTTCCCGGCGAACCCCATCTTCGTGTACCTGCGCGCGCGCGCCACCCATTCTCATCACCCGCCTCAGATTCGCCGCGGCGCACGCTCTCCGCGCGCAGATCTGGAAAGAGAGAGAGAGAGGGAGGCTTACCCGGTGCCGTTGTCGATGACGACGGCGGGGCGGGAGGCGGCGTCCATGGCGTCGCGCGTGGTCCCACCGCACCGCGGCGGCGCAGTCGGTCAGTCAGCCAGTCAGTCACCGGCAGCGGCGAGGCTTCCCCCGTCCGCTTTAACCACCACCGGCCGCGGCCGCAACGCGGGGAAGAGGAGGCGAGAGCGGGTCGGCGTCGCGGCGGGCATCCCACACCCACCGCCACTAGCTTCTGCCGCCCCCAGCAGCAGCAGCAGCAGCAACCACCTCCACGCGCGCCCGAAGCGGCCGGCACCGACCGAGGAATGGAAGCTTGTAGAAGAAGCGAGGTATCGGGGCGGCGCGGCGCGGCGGGAGGAGAAGGGAGTGAGAGGGGGGCTTGGCTTTTGCTTTTCTCGGGGTATCGTGGGATTTGTCTCGGCGTGCGTGGTGGTTTCCGTGTTTGGCGTCGTAGGCGTAGGCTCTCGCACGCACACGCACGCACGCAGGCTGCGGCGGCCGGGAGTAGGAGGAGACTTGGGGGACGTTGGTATTGGTGTTGGTGTTGCTCCTCCTCGGATTGGTGTGGTGGTGTGGGGTTGTGGGGGTGGGGGGCGTGCGGGATGATTGCGACACCGCCACCGACGCCACCGTGTCCACTCTGCGGTCTCCGGCACGGGTGTGGGCGCCACTGACGTACTCCTACGCAGGGAGTTCCCGGTTGAGAAATGTGGGTCCCATGTGACAGAGGGTGATCGTTTTTTTTTCCCCCGTTTTAATGCCAACCGTTTTAGCTGATACCTGAAGAAAATGACCCCTACTTGGCCCGATTTCTGCCCGTCATTCAGCAATACGGAGTACTTCATCTTCAGAAATGGAGTAAGTTAATTTTGTCCACGGATATAGTAATAAGATATGTCACATATCATACTAGATTAACTTATCTTAAAACAGATAAATTATATTTTGCCCATCCTAAAATGCCAATTTCTATATGTCATTCGGTAATTCTTCCTCCTAGACCATGCAGTACTGAGTTTCAATTTTAAGATGGAGATAGTATGAGTTATTTTTTCTTTTCTGCGGCAGAAATTGATAATAATGAGTAATGAAGAGTTATAGTGATAGCTACTTGGTTCTGCCAAAATAAAACAATGCTTCGTTGAAGACCCCAAACAAAACACAATGAGCTTTCCTAATCCCTCCCCAAGAAAAATGATCCTCCGACTCCTCCGAGTGCGTGCCGTGGACACGTACGAAATCAAATGCCATAGCGTACAGAGCTCGCACGGGGAGACGTTGCCGAGGCTCGTAGGGATAAAACTAGCTCTGCAGCTGCTCTTGGCCCCAGGAAAAAAAGAGAATGCAACCGCGCGTAGGAAAGGCTCGAATTTTTCTCTCTCTGTTTTTTTTAAGCTCATCGATGAGCTCCAGAAACAAGAGATTCTTCTCGTAGGACATCTTGAGAACACTAATGAAATTCAACCAAGGCAAAGAGAGGCCAAATGGTAGAGGTGTCCACCAAAAATTTCCTACTATCTTTTTGACCTGTCTGTCTACTCTGAAATGCTCTGACATGAGGCATGGCCTATATATCCATTGCTCTAGCCACAACTGCTCAGTGTTACGGTGCAAGGTAATTAATTTGCAGAGGCAAAGCAAGATGAGGTTCCTTGGTCTCCTGAGCTTGGTTGCTCTCATCTTCCTCCTCAGCTTCAGGTCTCTGATTCATCAGCAAGTTCTTGTTGGTAAGTTTTACTACTACTACTAACTTTCTGCCAGCTTTTATGAATGCTACTGCCTATCTGAAGAGCATTCAGTGAGATTGCTACTGGAGGGAAGAGTATGAAACTGATCTTGTTCTTTCCGTGGAAGGAGAAGGCGCAGCAGCCAGCGGGTTCCTCCATGGCAGCGGCGACGACGGAAGGAGGCAGCATGCGAGGGAGTGGGAGGAGGAGAGGAAGAAGATGAGGTGGTTCATGGTCAGGGACTACGCCCACGCGCGGCGCCACGAGCCGAGGAACAACCGGCTGGATCCTTAGCGTGATGTTGATGGCTTGATGCCTTGATGGCGCTGGATATAATGGCTAGTCCTAAGCTCATGTTTAATCTGTCCCCTAGCAAGTGTGCAGCAATTTTCACACAAATTTTGCAACCCCTGACCATAGAATTCCCTTATGATTGTAGAAATAGTTCTATCTTTTGTGAGGTTTTGTAAGGAGTATTCAGGTTTTGTAGTTTTGAAACTGTTTTAGTATATGTTGGGTAAAAATACAAGTCTTTTTTATACTTTCTAGTTCCCTTTTCTGCATTCATCTTTAGAGGTGTTTGCAGATTGTAAAGCCGCTGGTGAACAGTAGTACTGATCATGGATAACTAAACTGCAGCCTGATGGAGAAATGGTAAGCAAAGATTAGTGTCCCTATAGCACTGCAAATGCTCCTTAATTATTTTGGGTTTTAGGATTTTCAAAGTTCGAAGGAGAAATGAAAATGATCATGAGGGAACTTCAATCTGAATATCCTCATTTCTGGTGCCACCAGTGCTATCCTACAGGATGTGGCAATCTGAATAGTAAAAAAAGTGTCATTGATGTTAGTGAAATGCAATCACATGGTTCATCTAGGGCTCCGTAGTACTTAGGAGTCAATGAAGACTTGACCAAGGGTTGTTCACACAAACTCTACCGGTAATTATTCAGATGGTTAGTACGGCTTGTTTTGTTAGTCGTAGACTCGTAGCTTGTATATAGCATTTGTCGGTGAAGCAGCTAAAACTGAGGTCTACTTACAGTACCTGGGCTTGTTGCAACTCAGCAACTGATAGTACTACATAATACTGCTAGTACTGATTTACGCATGATTTATGCATTGATAGACAGAAGGGAGTAGTACTTTAATACGGCTACTCCGCTACTGATTTATACATTCTTCAAAGTTAGGCGTGAAAACTCATGGCTGCACTTATTATGGGATAGAGGTAGTAGCAGTTGGATACACATGTACTAATGACTAGTACGGGCCGAACTCTGCACTGTACAAATGTATACAAGCTGGTTGGTAAAGAACTGGCCACACAATTTGATTGCGGTTTGCAGGTTGCAAAATTTCAGCATTTCCTCCTCTCAAAAATTTGCAGGAGCAATACAACAAAAGAATGTCCTCCCAGACTGCTAAATCCTTTTTTCCTGAAAGAAGCTTATACCCAAAAAAAAAAAAAACTATGCTTTGCCTTCCTGAACTTGTATCAAATCTGTATTTTTTTTTTCCTTCTATCTATCTGAATCTGGCTGCTCTACTCCTACTGCTGCTGTTGTACTTTGCCCATGACTTCTGCACTATCTCCGGCGCTGGCACCGGCCTCTTGGCCCATGCAGACATCACCCTAGCTCTCATCACCTTCTTCACAAGGAGCTTCCATGTCTTGTCCACTTTCCCTTTTTCCATGTTAGTCTTGAAGTTGCTGGAGCAAAGGGAAGAACGTAAACAAATGAACGGAAGGGTTCATTATTAGCTTTTGACATGGCAATGGCATGTGGCATCAATCAATCAATCTATCTATCTAATAATATGTATCTATCTATCTATTATAAAAACAACTAGAAAAAAAGGGTACAAATTACTTAGGTAGTCAGAGAAGAAGGAAAATATTTGATTCATTAGATCTTGGTGGGTGTAGATTGATCGTATACAATGTACAACTGTATCTATAGAACATAAAAGTTAAGAGTTGTGTGAAATATATTTCATTTAAATTTGTGGAGTAGAAAATACAGTTGTATCTATTGAAATGGAATATAATTTAAGTGTTATATATATCAAATTCAGTCATACCTTAAAAATCTAGCCTTAAAAATCTAGCACCGTGTCATTTGCAAGGACCATCCCAGGTTTTATTAGGTTATATTATAAAATAGCGCCGAAAGAAGGCATCATGTTTGTTGTATAGACTTAGAAATTACCACATTATAATAGAAAAAAGTTAGCCGTAAGATCTTGATGGACCAAATTATAACAGTGTAAATTGATAGCTATGCAAAGTACAATTGTCTATATATAGAAATAGAAGAAATGAGTTAAATATTAAATTTAATCCTACTTTTAACATCCATATAGTACTCCAGTATATAGAGTAGGAGTTTAGAGTCGTATACGATGAATCCAATTCAACAAACACGTACTGTAAATTTGTACGGGGATATTTCCTAGCTGTTCTTCATGTGTGATTATCCTTTATTTTTGTTTATTGTTTACCTGCAAAGGGGAACTCCGCAAGAATCGTCGTCGGACTTGTCGCAGACGGAGGAGTGTAGCCGGAGGAGCAGGAAGAAGCGCCGGCAGGGCGTGCAGCCTCCGGCGACTCTCCTGCCGCAGCCGGCGAAGAAGTGCCTCGCGAGCTGCAGGAGGCCCCGCCGGTGCGCGCAGGGGGAGGCCATCCTGCAGCACTGGCCGGTGCGCGGCGGCGGCAGCGGCGGTGGCGATCCGTGGGCGGCGCGGGCGAAGACGCGCTCCAGGGCGGCCATGGCGTCGCTGAGCTGCAGGTACACGCCCTGGGAGCCCCGCTCCCTCCCCCACCTCTCCTTCCTCTGGTCGGCGTCGCGGATCAGCTGGAGCAGGTCGGCCCGGAGCGCGGCGTCGTGGCGCGCGGCGAAGCGCCAGCCCTCGGACTCCCGGACCGCCGCGAGCTCCCTGCCGGCGAGCCGCGCGCACCACAGGTACAGGCGCGGCGCGTCGCAGAGCGCCGCCAGCTTCATCGCGTCCACCGCGCCCTCGGCCGCCACCCGCGCCGCCACCGCCTCCTCCGCGCGCCGCTTCAGCGGGCCCGCCACACGGTACGCGTGCGCCAGCGCCATCAGCGCCGCCCCGTGCTCCGCCAGCGCCGCCTCCTCCCACTCCGCCGCCGCCGCCGCCGCCGCCGCCCCCCTGCGCGCCACCACACCGCCGCACATGTTAACTTCCCTTTCGCGTGATCGCGCGCGTACGTGCGGTTGCCTACTAGTACAAACCTGACGGATGCGGCGTAGAGGAAGCGGAGGAAGACGACGACGGCGCCGGTGGAGGCGCCGGCGATCGGGACGACGCCGCCGCGCGGCGCCTGCTCGATCATCCGCTCCAGCACCGGCGACGCCGAGGCCTTCGCCATCACATCACATCACACCACCAGATTCCAAACAGAAAAACAAAGCGAAATTCATCAGAAATTCGAAACAAGAACGAGAAAAATCGCATCGAAGCAACGGCGATCTCTTCCTTCGCTTACAAGAACAGACGAGTGCGCGCGGATGCCGCTCCCGTCGGCGGTGACGACCCGCACGTCGGCCGGCGAGGTCGGGAGCGCACTGAAGGCCGTGCTGAGCGCCATCGAAACCAACTCCCCGAGTTTCTCGTCCCCCTCGATCGATCCTAAAATCCTTTATGCTTCCTTAACAAGAGGATTAAACTAAAGAAAGTGAACAAAGAGAAAGCGAAAGAATTAAAGAAGATCAAGAAATTCCAATTCCAATTCCAACTCCAACAACAGTAGAACACATCTTCTGGGTTCTGGGTTACGCCTTTTTATATAGGAGGGATTGGAACGATCTTCCGAATCATACGCACACGCATGCGCAGCTACGCGCGGCGTGGAAAGCAACTGAAGACTTCTGGTTCTGAGGGCGTTTTGTTTAGTGTGACGAGAGGGGTTAGCTTAGGATTTAATTTAATCATTTAAAATGGGCTTTTATAATTAACACATGTGGGTGGTCGTTTTATGAACCGGGGATGCAACGGGTTTGCCGTGTCAGCGACAGATTAGGAAGGAAGCGGTGCGAACAAGCAGCCATTTTCTTTTTTTCTAAAAAATATAAAATAAAGGACATTTGTTTAAACTGCTGACTTGGAACCACGTATCATTTTTGTGGTGTTGTTGGCTAACATTATAGTCGGTGGCGGCCTTGGTCTAAAAAGTTTGAGTAGTTGCTCCCTTCGAGTTGATAATACTTGTCGTTTTAGATAAGGGTGAGGTCAAACTTTAAAATCTTTGATTATGAATTATTTTAAAAATATTTGTCTTTCAAACATAGTGACTACATGTATAGATTAATCTTAAAAAGTACTTTAATAAGATCATATATTTTTTAACACTTTTATACATATTATAATAGAAAATAATGGTCAAAGTTTTTTTTTGGAGACCGTGCCATTATTCAAAACGACAAATATTATCAACCTAGAGGGAGTATAAGGATTAACACGTGATTTGGTCGCTAAACTTATGAACACTTAGTATTTACTTGTATATAGGGTATATTATAAGCTTTTTCAAAAAAGAAATACTCATACTTTTGCTTTTATAAATTGTGACAAACACGCTTCAATATTCCTCTTTAACTGCTACGGGCTTAATTGCATCTTATACAGCTGGAACTAGCTCTCCGGGACACGCGGAGTGAGGCCTAGCGGTTTGGGGCCTGTCTAGTTCGCGAAATGAAAATTTTTGAGGGTCATATCGGACGTTTGACCGGATGTCGGAAGGAGTTTTGGACATAAATAAAAAAACTAATTTCATAACTCGCCTGGAAACCGCGAGATGAATCTTTTGAGCCTAATTAATCCGTCATTAGCACATGTGGGTTACTGTAGCATCTATGGCTAATCATAGACTAATTAGGCTCAAAAGATTCGTCTCGCAATTTCCCCCCTAACTGTGCAATTAGTTTTTCTTTTAATCTATATTTAATGCTCAATGCATATATCCAAAGATTCGATATGGTGTTTTTGGAAAAAAATTTTGGGGAACTAAACGGGGCCTTGTTTGATTTATCTTACAACTGGAGATAACCCTATTTGTTGTATGTAGTCTGAGGTAGTGAGGTCCAGTGGATTGTGCTGAGCTAGCTAGCTAACTTCGGCGCATGTAGTTAAGAGTTCCAGTGGGTTGTTTGGTTTGTCGTCGTACCTGAGCAGAGCAAGCCATTATTCTCACATGCACGAAATCAGGAATGATCTTTATTTAATTTGTAATTGGCAGAATGTGGTGGTTGTTTGTTGAAATAGCTGACTTGGATCTATGTATTTTTGTGTTGTTCTTGGCTAACATGTAGTCAGATGGCGTTCTGGTAGAACAGTAGCGAAAGTTTGAGTACTAGAAGGCTAGAAGCTAAGGGTTAACACATGATTTGATGGGAAAATATGCAGTGAAAACTTGGAAACTACCGTTGGATCGAGAAATAGACGTTCGAGATTCGTCCACGTCACCATGAGTTAAAATTTAACTCGCGGATTCACTCACGGATTCACTCATGAGTTAAAATTTTGGTTAGAGTTAAATTTTAACTCATGGTGACGTGGACGAATCTCGGACGTCCATTTCTCGATCCAACGGTAGTTTCCAAGTTTCTACTACATATGTGGTTTGCACTACATATTTTTTCTGATTTGATCACTAAACTTATAAACAAACACTTAGTATAAAGTAGTGTACATTGAAGATTTTTTTTAGATGGCAACCCATGCTTTTACTTTTTCATATCATGACAAACACGCTCTAATACTCTTCCTTAAGTGTGCGCTTAATTGCCCGTTGTACAGCTGTAACTAGCACTTTCAGGACACGTGGTGCGAAGCCTAATAGAACCTCATTGGTTGTCCATAATGGCTTATTAGGGCAAGTTTTATAAAAGAGATGGATGTTGTATCTAATTTTGACCACATCATCAACAAATAAATATAGAGATAACATGTACAATATATCACATCTATACTAATTCTAATACACTAGCCTCAATGTTTGTTTGCCCAATCTACTCTTTCCCTCTGTCATTTTGTCTTGAATTTTGTGTAGCGGTTGCCTCTTGCATGAGAGGTGGATGCTTATCTCTCTCATCTCTTCTCTCCTCCACCTCACTATTTTAGCTTATGTGGAATCTAGGAAATTGTGCTTGGATGCCCATAGTACTTGCCCTTAGGGAATAAAAATTAATTTTTAGGTGAAACTTTTATATATCTATTTGTAGCAACTTAAAAGCCAACGCTGAAAGAAATTATATTGAAAATATCTTAAAATTAAGTTTGAGGATTCAAATTGACTTTTATTTTGGTTTATTAGGCTAACCGACGGGACTCATAGAGTCATAGTTTGTTTGATTTATTGTATAACTGGAGTTAGCTCTCTTTGGTGTATGTATTGTAAGGTCCAGTGGAATGTTTGACTGTTGAGATAGATTACTTTGGCGCATGTAGACTGTAGTTAAGAGTTTCAGTGGATTGCTTGTTTTGTTGTCGTCGTACCTGAGCATACTAAGGTCGTACCTTAGGGGTTGTTTGGTTCACTACTTCAAATTGCCACACTACACTTTAGACTGTCACACCTTCTTAGATTTGTGTTTGGTTCATTGCCATAGATATAGCAAGCCACACTTTCTTACCATCTTACCCCACATGTCATAGACTCAATTATTTGTCTAACTTTGCCACAAGTGTGGCTTACAATTTGTAGGCCACAAAAAGTGTGGCAAGCCACACTTGCCTAACATTGCCTAAAGTGAGTTATGACAATGTTAGTTAAGAACCAAACAACCCCTTAGTTATGCCCAAAGTGCCAGAATGTGTTGGTTTTTTGTGAACCGGGGTTACAAGGTTGCCATGTTAGCAACAGATTGGAAGGAGGGGACACAAACGAGTAGCTCTTTTTCCACAAGAAAAAAGAGTAATGTGCACGAACGGTCCTTAAACTTGTAGCGGTGTGTCATCTAAATCCCCAAATTCTCAAAATGCATATCAGGTTCTAGAACTTGTCAAAATGTATCATCTAGGTCCCAAATCGACACATCCCCTCTTGGATCCTACGTGGCGCTGATGTGACCTGCCATATGGACGTGACATGTCTTTTTTTCTTCTTCTTCTTTTTCTTTTCCGCTTTCTTCTCATTCTTCTTTTTTTCCTCTCTTTTGCTCGGGTCACAGAGAAAGGAGAAGAAAGGAAAATACAAGAGAAGAAAAAAAAGAAAAAAGAAAATTTTTAAATGGGTCCCATTTGTCAGTCAAAATTATGCCACGTCATGTCCGTGTGACATGCCACATCAGCACCACAAGCACCATGTAGGATCCTGAAGGGGCTGTGGCGATTTGGGATCTAGATGACACACTATGACAAGTTCTGGAACTTGTATATGCATTTTGAGAGTTTAAGAACCTAGATGACATACCGCTATAAATTTAAGGACCGTCCATACACTTTACTCAGAAAAAAACTTTTTTGAATCCAAATTGCTAACTTGGTCCACATATTCTTTGTGTTGTTTTAATATATGATTAGTTGGTGGATCAGAGGTGAAAGCTAAGCTCACCACATGATTTGACTAGGCTTGGTTCGAAGAGAAAATTCCTTGTGTACACCTCAAAACTCTCTCAATCCCTTATATGCACCTAAAAAATACCGAATCCCTTGTGTGCCCTCGAAAATTTGTTTAGAACCCTTGCGTACCCCTCCCGTCAAGTCTCTGTCAGTTTAGATGTTAATTTGCTTAGAAATGTCCATTATGCCCTTTGAGAATGGAGGGCATGCATGGAATTTGATTATAGTTGGCTGATTAGAGAGCTTGCTATATATTAAATAATTTTTTTGTATGATGTGTGCTATCATAAATAATTAGTGGATATAAAATTTAAAATATTTTTTTTAAAAAAATAGTACATTGCAATTTTAAAAATAAATATGTGGCTATAACTAGCTGAAAATACTAAGATTAGCTGAAAATACTAAATCTAGTATTTTCAGCTAATCTTAGTATTTTCAGCTAGTTATAGCCACATATTTATTTTTAAAATTGCAATGTACTAATCTTAGTATTTTCAGCTAGCTATATCCACTTATTTATTTTCAAAATTGCAGTGTACTAACTTTTCTCAAAATTTATTTTAAATTTTCTATCAACTGATTATTTAGTATCATAAAGCACACATCATGAAAAAAAATATTCAACATATAGGGAGCTCTTTAATCAGCCAACTATGATCAAATTTCATATCCACCATTCTCAAAGGGCATAATGGACATTTCTAAGAAAATTAACATCTAAACTGACAGAAACTTGACGGGAGGGGTACGCAAGGGTTCCAAACAAATTTTCGAGGGCACACAAGGGATTCGGTATTTTTCAGGTGCATAGAAGGGATTGAGAGAGTTCTGAGGTGTACACAAGGAATTTTCTCTGGTTCGAAAGCTCGTTTTGCTTTTGCAACTCCCTCGTTTACCATAACCACACTTCCCAAATTTATCAAATGGAGCTAGTGAACTTGTACATTAATGGTGTTTGAAACTCAGGTAGATGAAGATAAAAATAAAGATTAAGTGTTTTTACGTAAAATGAGGTGGTATTAATGTACGATTAATTGAGTTTTAATTATTATATACTTGAAAAATATATTTATATGATATTTTAGAGTAACTTTCATATAGAAATTTTCCGCACAAAACACACCATTTAGCAGTTTGAAAAGCATGCCACGAATATTCAAATTTTCATCCGACTTTTGTTGGAGAAAATAACGGGCCATAGTTTGAGGTTTAGTGGGTTGTTTGGTTTTTAAGCTAGCTCATTTTGGCGCATATAATCATAATTTTAGTGGATTGTTGGTTTATTATCGTATATGTGCAAAGTTAGATAATGTTCTTCATGTACGGAATATATGGCATGAGCTTAATAATTTAATTACGGAGTATATTTTATAATT